TTATCTCTCTCTCTCTCTCTCTCTCTCTCTCTCTCTCTCCCTCTCTTCCCTCTCCCTCCGGCGAGTATTATTAATCCTTTGAACTCGCTATCAATCACGGGCTTCCGTTGTTCGATGAAACTTTGACGATAACGCGGATTATAGCTGCAAAACCGTACGTGCTGCGCGGTGAAAAATACACAAAATCTCGCGCCAGTCAATTTTATGGGCTGTCGACGTTTTATTGGACGCGCGTATATACCCCGGCACAACCTTGCCAGCGGAGCGGTTATTAGTCATAATTGGACTAATTAAACGGCCCGGCACGGAACTGAAAGGAAACGATGTCGCTTTCGCGAGCTACTAACTTCCAGGCGATAAAAGTTCCGCTACAAACGGACTTACCCTTTCTCATACCTCGCGTATTAGGTGTCTCCGCGACTGCGATATTGCTACGGGAAATTTTTGCGATTTCTCGAGAGGTGTATATTAAGAATTTTCCAAGTTTTTTGATCGGCTCGCCGAGGAAATGCGTAAAAATTATATTAAAAAGTCCTCGTATTTCGTATTTAACTCGAGCGTCGAGCGAGCATTAAGCAGCGAATTTATAGAGGGAGATATCCGAGAATGGCGCGTTTCGATGAATTTCGACGAATGAATCACGCGAAACGGTCTGCCTCCTCGCGCACGAGTATACCAGTCATAAAGTGCCGGGATCGCTGGATTCCTTGAATAATTATCGCCGGCTCCTATTCTTCTTTCGCGCCGCGCGGCGCGAGAGACAACCGGTGACACCGATCGCGCAGAACGAATGTGCAAATATTGTCATGCTCCGTAAATCGCAAAAACAACGGCGCTCGTCAAGCGGAGGATTTATGCGCGGCGGTTCCGTCGCAACGACCCAAACCCTCCGTCGTCCCCGTCGCGCTCGTACCCCGTACCCCGTCCGCTTTAACCCCGCCGTGACCGTCCGTCCGTCCGTCCGTTTCTGCCGTATCCGCTTCCGGTTCCACGTAGTCGCACACATGTGCAAGACCCGCCACGTCGCCCCACTCCCCTCACCCCTCACTACCTTTTTTCCTTCCGCTCTTCCTTTTTATTCCCGCGGGACATATCCAGGAGGAAGGGGGAGGGGAGGGGGGAGGGAGGCAGGAAGCTCCCAATCCGTGTACTCGCGCCTTCGTCGCTGCAAGTCGGCATTAAGCTACAATTTTGCAACGCTGGCGAAGACAAACAGAAAAAAAAAGGAGGAAAAAAAGAAGGGGAAAGAGGAAGGAAGAACTGCGCGATTCCGCTCGAGTAAATATGTGGGATGCCGCGTCAGTTCGCGCATTAATGCCCCCCCTCCCTTCCCTCCTCCTTCGCCGCGCCGTGGGATTTCGCCACGTCGGAATGATTCTCTTCGATTCTACCGCGCGCGCCGGTTATCCCGCCCTACTTTTCCCGAAAAGTAGGAATTCAGCCCGAACGGGCACCGCGCCGATTCGCGCGCGCGATGGAATTACCGACGAGGCGCGCTCCAGGTTTCCAGTATCCTCCGGATGTGGATTTAGTTACGGTGGGAATGCTCTCGGAGGATACCGCCAGGCTCAAGTCGACGAGTCGCTATCGGCGCCCCGTCGCAATCAATGGCGCGGCCGATAAAAGCCGATGAATTCTAAATACCAACGCGGAATATTACTTTCTTTTTCCTTCTTCTCGCCTCCCCGCGCCGCGATACGCGCGCTCGGGATAAATCTGGAATTTATACCACGGCGACTATTATTTAGTATTTTATTCCACCGCGTGGCTGTTATTTATCGTATCCTTCTCCTCCTCATCCTCCCCCCCCTCCCTCCTCCCTCCACCCCTCCGTTTCGTCGTACGGTCATTATTTATTAACGTTATTATTTTGGATTATCTTGGCGTACAACTATTACTGTTTAAACGAGCCGCAAATGGCCGAAAGTTTAAAGCAAATTTACAGTCGAGCTGGCACCGTCGCGTAAATGGACGCGACCGCGACGCGATAAAAGGGCGCGGCTATTATAACGAAAAGTCTTCGAGAAGCAGGTTACCACGCGCCCCTGTGGCTTCTTTTAGCCGAGCACTTTTACGAATTGTGCCGCTCATTTAATTTCAGCGTCGCTTTAGGGTGCAGATTCCGGCGTGGAAGGTTCGAGACTCCCTCCCTCCCTCCTACTTCCTTTCAGGAATCCCCGAAGGCCCGGCACGAAGTACAGTTACGCTTTATTTATTTTGTTCAACCCATTTTATTCCCGGACGCGAAGGGTTTTGCCATTTCTCGAGCCGCAGTTAGGAGTCGAAGCACCGTTCCCGTTCGACAAATCTGCGCCGTTAAGGGCGCGACAATTGTTTCTCGGTGCTACCACCACCCTCGAGCGAAGGTGCACCTCTTCCCGCTTATCGATATCCATTTCTGGCATCCTTTTTGCCAGAGAAGACGTCGACGGGAAAGGGATATTGTTCCCGAACCTACGGATCGTCCTACGACGGTCCTTCGGCGAGTCTAAATCTGCGACTTCGACTACCGCGCTGGATAAAATTTACGGGGCGCACGGATAAATATCTACGTTATACGAGATTCCTCGAATTATTCCTCAATAATTCAGAAGCGAATTCTGCAAAGTGGCTCGAAGTCGAAGAAGAAAATCGCTCGTCCCAGTCGACTCTCAACCTCTCTCAGGATCTCTCGTATCAGTAATCACATTTATTATAACGATGCAAATTGCTAAATAGCTAACGGTATAAGTAGAAAAAAAAGAGACAAGCGCGGCGTAATAATGCCCGCGCACAAAGGAGCGGAAGGAAGTTTTCGCAAGGTTCCATCGCAAAAAGGCACTTTATGAAATTTTTTCTCACCTACGCGAGCTGCTCCGCTAATTGTGTTTTTTCAGCTATTTATGGCAATAATTAATTAGGAACTACGTTGAACGAGACCCCGAGCTCTCTGGCTTATGCCTTTTTCCTACGACCCATTACCGCGAGCATCCTTTTTACGTCCATTATACAGCCATAATAAAGATGATTTATTATTATTATTACCTCCTTTATTTTTGTCGTACTCTTTGCACCGCCGATGAGACGCCGTTAAGGGGTTAACTCTCGCGAGGTTGCGCGCACGTAAATTTTCATGATAAATTTTCAAGCCGCGGTTATCTTCAAGTGTATACCAACAAGAGTATATCCGACCCGAGTAACACACCATCGCTCCTCCCTCGGTGTGTCGTATCTCATCCCCTTCCGATTAATAACTTTTAGTACGGCGCAACGTTATCGGGGAACGATCCTATCGCGGGACGACATTCGATTTCGACGTAAGAGACATCCGCGATGCAAATAGAGCGGCTCGCGGAGATCTGAGATCTCTCCGGGGGGACGCCGCGGGCCAGAGATTTAATCAGATTTGGCAATCGCGTCGCGACATATCGATGGTAATCGTCGTCGAAAGTCAATGTGTACACACGTCTCGTCGGAACCCGGAACGCGATATATATATATAACGAAAGACTCTCGCTGTCGAAATTGAGACGCGACAGTTAACCGTGTTATCTAGCCAGCAGCTGGCTCGATTGCTGAATCCGTGATAGTGGCCCGACGTTGGTAGTAGTCGTGATGATGACGGTAACGACGATCCGGTGATACCGGTAGGTGTTCCGTGGTCGTAGCGGCGTTGGTCGAGACAGTGGTGAACGCAGGTGGTGAGGGAAGGTATGGGGGGAGTGGATGAGCTAGTGACTAGGGTTGCTATCTCGTGTCAGTACGATGTTGGGAGCAATGGCGTCCCTCCAGGTAAGCGTGCTAGCTGCTACCGGAGGCAAGGGCGGGTTTAACAAGCGATGTTATCTGCCCAGATGAATGCCGGTCGCCCCTTGCCCCCTTCGACCACCACCTTCCTTGACTCCGATCGTATCACGCTATGTTGCCTGCTTCGTCACGAAATCTCACGAAGCGGACCGGACGAGCCTCGCCTCAAGAATCTTCAAGAAGTCATTTCGACAATAATCATTTCGTGTAGCACCGTTTGAAATACTCTACCGAAAATTTTACAGAATTCGTAACGATCGCAGATAGACTGTTGATTAATATAAAATTTATGTCGTTGTCCTCCTCGGGGAAGCCACGATAATTATATTTCTTAAATGATAATTTTACAAAAGATATTTACGAATTTCTCTCCCTCACCTCTGCCAATTTCGCAATCTCGCTCTCACTTATTTCGAACAATAATAAAATTGGCATTAAACTTTTACTCCTAGGTTACTCCAAATTGTATAGTTCCAAAGTATCGAGAAAGCTCGTGAACTGAGTGAAAAAGTCGTCCGGAAAATTAAAGTAGTATTTATAATGAAAATTAGAATCTCTCTTTGGTCGGCGGCTCTTACGCTCTCGGAAGGGGAATTTTCAACGATAAAACTTTTACGACGCAATTCGTATTTAGAACAAACGCTGAAGGAGCATTTAGTGATGCTTTTTTGCGAGAAACCCGCGAAGGTTCATTAACGATATTAAGATGTTCCGCCGAATACCCGATTGGAGAGCTTCCAGGATTCAAACGAATTGCCCGGAAGGCGGTATAAGAACGAGGGAGAGAAAATCGCGAGATTTATTGAGACAGGCGCGAGAAATCCTCCCGAAATTACGAGCGCGGCTAGCGGGACGAGCAATCTCGTCGAACAATAAAATTTTCGAGTAAGATGGCGGCAAGTCGCTCGAATTTTTCAAAGCAACTTACGAGAATACCGCGCTACCGTAAAGAGGAATGAAACTGCGTCAAGTATTTCACCATAAAAGTTTCGTCGTAAAG